ACATATATGTATATGTGTATATATATATAATATATATGTATAATATAAATATACACTGCATATATAAAATATAAAGTAATATTTTATTTCATTTTTTTAAAGGCTCAGAAACAAATATGACAAAATGTTAATAATTACTAATTCTGGATCATTACCCAAGAGTCTGTTACATATTTTCTGAACTGTTCTGCATTTTTAAGTGTTTTTCAAAACAAGAGTAAAAGAGAAAAGATACTCCGCTACATAGGTTTTACCACATGCGCCGGGAGCTAAGGCCTATGGAGAATTCTCTGCTACAGAATTTCATTTTCTGGGGAATGTGAAGACAACTGAAGTGAAATGGGAACGTGAATAAGAAAACAGGCCTCTCTCAAGGAGAGAGCACACGAGTGGATGAATGACAGAGAGACGCACACACACACAAATACACACGTGAGTGTGTAGACAGATACGTAAATTGATGCATACGTGTACATATACATCATACACATGTGGGTGGACAGAAGGATGGACAGATAGATGGTGTGGAATAATGCCCCCTACCCTCAAAGATGTCCGTGTCCTAATCCCCAGAGCTGTAACTATGTGACATCCCCAGCAAAAGGGACTTCATGAATATAATTAAGGGCATAGTCCCCAAGATGATGAGGTATCCTGGATTATCCAGGTAAACCCAATCTAAACACATGAGTCCTTAAAAATGAAAGAAGAGGCAGAAGACTGGGTCTGAAAAGTGAGACTGAACAAGAAGGAGCAGAGACTTGAGGTGTGAAAAAGACCCAGCCTGCCCTTGCTGGTTTGCAATATGGAAGAGGAGCCACTGGCCAGGAGCAAAATTCTGCCAACCACCCCAGTGAGCAGGAAACTGATTCTCCACTGCAGCCTCCAGAAGGAATGCAGCCCTGCTGACACCTTGATTTTTGTCAGGGGAGACACATATTGAATTCTGATCTACAGAACTAGAAAATAATAAATTGGTGTTGTTCACAACAAAATTTACATGAAACTGGTAATTTGTTATAGCAGCAACAGAAAACTAATTAGGTAGATGGTACATATGTAGGTGGGTGGGTAGACAGATATATAAATAGATGATATAGATATAGATATAGATATAGATACAGATATAGATATAGATACAGATATAGATATAGATGGATGGATGATGGATGATAGATGATAGATAAACCCTTCATCAAAAGTTTTCCTGTTTGGTTATCTGCAAAGTAAATATATGTTAAACAAATCCTATGTTACTATTAACTTCCGTTGTAAATTGGCCGTAAGTTACTATGTGAAAAATGGATGGATTTCAATATACTAAAGAGAAAAAATAAGCTGTGTGAAATGGCCTCCTGAACAGTGAACATGAAGCCCCTTTAGACTTGGCACTACCTTTCAGCATTTTCCCAACACTGCCCCTCAGACTGGGCACTACATCCCTGTTTCTGAAGATGGACTAAATATGAAAGAAATGGAGAGGACACTTCTCCAAGAAGCTCTATCATCCAACTATGCCATCCACCACCAGAAAATGAACTGAGTTTGAGACCTCGTGTGAGTCAAACAAATCAGTCATCTCCTTTATCAAATCTTTGCAGGCCAAATGCTATCGAACCAGTGGCTTAGTAAGGAATATGCCATCAAAGGGAACTCTTTTCTTATAAGCCCAGCAACGTATTCCCTTCTGAACACCTCCCCAGAGATGTGTGTCCTTCATTAAAAGGACAAGTCTTAGCAACCACTCACCATGAGTATAGGTACAATGGAAGACACTGGATCAGAAAACTCAGATTGCAGCCCTAATTCCGTAAGCTGGGTGAGCCAGGGAAAGCCATTTCTGGCAGACACACCCTAGGGTGATCCTGTAAGTCACACCTTTGTATAATCCTCTCCTCGTGTGAGTGTGGTGGGGACTGTGACTTGCTCCTAACTAACAAAGTATCGCAAAGGTAAAGGTATTTTTGCTGATGCGATGAAGGTTTCTAATCAAGTAGATTATCCTGGGTGGACCTGATCTAATCAGGCAAGTCCTTCAGAAGAAGACCTCGAAGTCAGAGACTTATTAAGACAGCAGAGGCACATTCTCTCTCCATTGCCAGTGTGGAAGAAGCAAGCTACCATGAACTCTGTGCCTCAAAAAACCGAATTCTGCCAACACGCCATGAAGGTAATAAAACCAGATGGTGGGAGGGAAATGACGGGAGGGCGAACATTGACGTACAAAGGTCAGGGAGGTCCCACTGCAATGGTGCTGTCTCTGCTGAGACGGGGGAGCCAGCTGTCTGATGAGCCAGAGGTGAGCTGTGTAGGAGGAGGTGGAGGATCTGCACGTGCCAACGCTGGAAGCTCCAGGCAGCTGGAATGAACTCAAAGGGCAGTCACAAGCCAATAAAGGCACAAATGATGGCTCAGTCATGGTTGCCCGATAAATGCTCGATGGATATAAAAATCTCAGTGGCCTCATCCTCATCCAGGATTCAGACCCCTCCTTGCTCTACCCCTGAGCCAATGCCCCCTCACCTACCTTCCCACCCACGGGCTCTTGCTGAGAAGCTCGCTGATGGCGGAGGCAGTTTTCGGCTCCCGCAAAGCCAGATGGTAAGACTGAGCTCAGTGTGACGAGCTCAGTGTAAGACCACAGGGAGTGGCGGGGACTGAGGCAAGGGGCAGAGCACAGGTGCTGGCCACAGGGGCGGCCACTGCTCAGCTCCAGCTAGCTGCTGCCATGCCGGAGGGCAGGCCCAGATTCTCCAGAGCTTCAGGTATTTCAAGACAAGCTAGAAATGCAGACTTTTATGTGAAATCTCCTGGTGCTTATTTGGCTACTAAGAGTCAAAACTTGTAAATATGGTCAGACCTAAGGAGAGTCTCACCCAGGCTATGCTTGCCCAGTTGTTGCAGACGCCTCTCCAGGCTTCCTGGAGCATCAGCCAGGCACCACCAGCCTGGTTTGGGGAAGTTTCCCCTCTGGTGTCCATGGTGGCACCTGGCACCTCGCAGGTGCATGGTGATGATCTGTTGTATCAGCTAAGCTGAAGTCTGGGGAAGGTGGGAGCAGTCAATGAGGCACGCACGCTTGTCCCTCACCCCACCTCTCCTGGGACCACGACTGAGGCCCAGAAACAGCTTGCAGCTGTCAGTCCATGCAATTTAGTGCTTCTTCCACATCAGTCCAATGTGGGAGATACTGACGGGGCACATGGCCACCTGCCAACATCCCTGTGCTCTCTGAATCCATGAGCAGCTTCTCTTTGGTGTGGCTAGCGTTCATTCCATCTGAGAACAGCACGCAAATTCTCCCTGAGGGAGCCATCCCTCCCCCACTCTGCATGGCTCAGGGGTTTGCGGTAGGACTGGATGTCCCTGTCACACAGGCAGTGACCCTTCTTTCATTCAGCTATGAACAGCTAGGCTTCTTTGGGGAAGGATGAAATGTGGTTTGGGACAGCATGAAGAACAGCTCCTGCAAGAGTGCTCCCGGGGCCTGGCACACTGAGCATCACCTGGGAGCCTGTTAGAAATGCAGAGTCTCAGGCCCCACCCCAGACCTGAGGAACGTGTTTCAGCATCCCAAGAAAACCCACACAACTCCAGGTGACTCTCATGCCCGTCGCAGGCTGGGGGGCACAGGGCAAGCTGCTATCTACACACAGGCTCTGCAGTAAGACTTGCTGATTCAGGGGCGCCTGGGTGGCTCAGTCGTTAAGCGTCTGCCTTCGGCTCAGGTCATGATCCCAGGGTCCTGGGATCGAGCCCCGCATCGGGCTCCCTGCTCAGCGGGAAGCCTGCTTCTGCCTCTCCCTCTGCTGCTCCCCCTGCTTGTGCTCTCTCTCTCTCACTCTCTCTCTCTGGAATAAATAAAATAAAATCTTGAAAAAAAAAAAGACTTGCTAATTCACATCTGGGTCCTTGGAGAGGCTGCCCTATCTGTGTCTCAGGTTCCTCAGGGGAAAAATGGGGGCCACTGTACAGTGCCCGGCACATAGCAAGCCCTCAGTGATGCCAGCTCTGGACACGTGGTCCGGCAGACAGCTGAAACGGGCGGGGGCCTCATCTCGAAGTCTGTCCAGAGGGCACATCACCTCTAGCCACGGAGGTGCTGAGCAGCCGTAGGGAAGAATTAGGAATCTGCACTGCCTCTTGAAGACGATCTCAGCTTTGGGTCAAATACCGACAATGAGGGGAGAAGGCAGGCGTGTTCCAGGAAGGGGAGATTAGAGGGCCGAGATGTGGAGGGGGAATTCGGGAAAGCATCAGGGCCCTGGCTTCAGCGTGTGAATCTGAGAACAGGAGGCAGGGAGGCAACACGAAGTCACCCTGAGCAGGACAGAAGGCCACGGGAAAATCAGACCCAACAGCTTCTCGGGCGGCACAGAGGGGTGGGGCCTGGTGAAAGAGTGGCCTTGCCCCCTCGGCCCCAGCAGCTAAAGGGTTTTGAGCAAACGGGCAAGACCATCAACGATGAAAGAGTGGTATTAGTAAAACCTGTGCGTCCCGTCTGTCAGGAGATGCTGTGCATGCACGTGTCACAGAGAAAAGTCTGGAAGGGAGCGCCCTGCACACCAGTAGCGCTCCCCAGAACAGAGGCAGTACCAGGATGCTTTATCATCTCCTCTTTGCTGGCCTATATTTCCGAACTTTTCTGCAAAGGACATGTACCACTTGCATAAATAAAAAGCAATAAAAGCTGTAAATAATAAATGCACTCTCTCCTCGGGACTTAAACGGGTGGATGTGTTCTCAACTCAGTTATTTCAAATATTTACTGGATTCCTGGCCTTGGAGAGGTGCCCCCGAAAAGCACACAGTCGGGGGAGGATGCTGTGCAGATGGGCTGATGGGGAACATACCGATTCCCTTGCCCATGAACCTCCAGACCCTCACTCCTACACAGACCCTCTGGAACCCCTGTGAAGTTTTCCTGGGGTTAGCAAATCGCCCCTGGCAGCTCCTGACAGGATGAGCACACATGGGCCAGACAGAGGTGGCCACAACCCCTACCTTCTGGAGCGGATGCTCAGCTTCTGTTTGCCACTCCCCCGAAACATCTTCGCCTTCCTCCACGGTGGTCCTTTCTTCCATTCAGGCTGGGCCACCATCCCTGAGGCCACTGGGCAGAAGAGCTGAAAATACCAGGCATGTTGGCATCATATTGTCAAAGCCCTATGGTGTTAACTGGAGGCCCAGGGAACACTGCGGCCAGGTCTTCCCCACCCCCACCCCCAGCCCCCAACTCCACCTCTCCAGGAACCCCCGCACCTGGTACCTAATTGTCTTTTGGAGGAAGGAGGGCCCAACTGGGTCTCGGATCCCACCCACCCCCCCACCCCCGTCTGAGACTCAGCACATTCCTTATTAGTCACCACTCTCGGGACAAAGAACAGCCTGTAAGGCTCTGGAGTCCCGGCTCTGCCACTGTTGCCTACGGTTACGTCAGAACAGAGGCTCCGGGACCCTCTTCAGCTGCCCTGGCCCAACACTTCCCAGAGCAGGACACAATCCAGATGCACAGACTCGCTCTCGAGATGGGACCACAAACTTACTACTAGTCACCAAGTGAGAGCTCCAGAGCACTCGGCCCCTTCCCTTTTGGCCGCTCCCAGGGAACTCGGACGTTAAGTTATCTGATCATAGTAATTGTTTCCCGAGTTCCAGGTATAATAACTCTTTCTCTCTCCCTTTTTTTTAAGTAATCTCTACACCCGATGTGGGGCTCAAACTCACAACCCCGAGATCATGGGTCCTATGCTCTACCGTCTGAGCCAGCCAGGTGCCTCAATAATTCTCTCCTTCTAAGAGATGATGTTTCATCTGGAGTCTCTCAGTAACAATTTTATAGTTTATAATCCTCTGTCACCCACAGAGCTTTCCTGGGCAGTGTTCATTTCACTTTTTGCTGCTGTTACCGGGAAGCTCAGAGCTAAATTTAACATCTAGTGATGAAAAGTATCTCATCTAGGGTCTTGGTACAGTAATTCTTTCCTCTGAAATGTACTTTTTCATTATTTTGTTTTGTTGCATTTTTGGCCTTTATCCTATCCCGCCGTGTATGTGGCAGCCCCACTTCCCTTGGGAGCAGCCTGAGAAGACTGTAGCACAAAGAGCAGGTGTTCCCCGGGGTGGCTTCACGCCCCCTCTCCATCATTACGAGTGTGCCAAGCACACTCCCCCAGCCCTGGGGCCCTAGGCAAAGGAGGATTTTACCTTTGGTGTCTGGACCTGCCCTCCTTCTCCCAGGCCTGTCTTCGTCCATCCTCCCACCACTGCCCTGCTCACGGGCCGGGCGTCTGGACCCTTGTCCTGGGCGCTGCCACCAAGGAAGTGCAGTGCCAAGTACACAGAAGCAGCCTTTTCCTTCTGCTCTGTGGGCAGAGGCAGGCTTCGGCTCAAGCAACACCATGTGAGTCGGGGCTCGGCCCTCAATGACGGGAAAGGGCCGTGGGCCCTGAAGCTCCACAGGGTCTCTGAGTGGGTACACGAGGCCAGCTCCAGCCAGCCGGGGGGCGTGGGGGCTGTGAGGAAGGAGCGGCAGGAACTGAGCCCAGCCAGAGGCCCCGAGGGAGGGTCTTCCGGGGCATTCTCAGGAGGTCCCAACTCCCTGCTAAGTGCACAGGGACTCAGGACACCCCCAGATGGCTTGGACCCCACCACAGTGCTGCCCGTGCAGAGGTGTCGGGTGTCAGGGGGCCCACTCTTCCAGGTGGCCCACGTTGGGGTGGGCAAGAAGGAGGCTGTCTCCCTGGGGCTGCTGGTGGATGAGCCACAGGACTGCCCCGCTGCTGGGGTGCCAGGGTCCAAGTATCCTTTCTCCTCTCCCTGCACCCCTTTTCTCCTGCCCCATGGCCTAGAGCAGCTGGGGTCCTCCTGGAAGCTGTCTGCCCCACTGGGGGCCAAGCCTGAAGCCGGGCAGGGAGGCAGGAGGGTCCCCAGCCCTGACCCGACAAAGGGTGCCTGTTCCTCGGGCCAGCTTCTCCTGCAGACAGGGTCCTGGCCTTGTCCCGGCCCCAGGGCGACGGGAGGTGGTGGGTGGGTCTCTTCCTGAGGCAACCTGAGGAGGTACTTGGGGGGGAAGGCAGTGTCTGCCAGGGCAGCGAAGACACCAGGAGCCTGAGTGGCCAGGTGGGACTGATGCCCAAGGGACGCGGCTCTAGGACACGGCAAGATCTCTTCCCTCAGCCCCACCTGCCTCAGGGCCACAGAAGGAGCAGCAGAGGGGGCGCCGGAAAGCTCCAAGGGCCTGCCCGGCTGCCCAGCCCTGCCCCTGGCCACGCCATCAGCACTCTCATGCAGCTCCCCTGGCTTATCCCCAGGGTCACAGTCCTGGTTCTGAGATGGCGGGGAGGTGGCCTGCACGGGGCCACCTGGGGCCTCTCTTTCTGTTCCCAGAGGCTCTGATTGCTCCTGGCAGCTCAGCTTCTCCACCTTCAGCTTCTTCCTCTCTGAGGGGAGCTTGTCCTCTGAGGGCTGGGACTCCCCAGAGCTACCACTGGGCCGCCTCGGCACAGTTTGGGTCCACTGACAGGTCTCCTTCTTGTCCCCACCACCACGGGTGCCTTCTTCCATCTTAGGGTCTGGCAAAATCAGCTTGGGAGCCTCTAGGTCACCTCCCCTGAGGGGACCAGGTGCTGCAGGCAGCTGACACCCCAGCTCCAGCCTCCCATTTGGAGAAAGCAGGGGGCTCTTGCTGCCCAAACAGCGGGGTTCTCTGCAGCTGAGGGTGGGGGGCGAGGTGGCCCTGCTCACCCTAGGCTGGTCACTGCCTCCTGCTCTGGCCACCATCTCCCTCTGTTTGGGGGACTCCATCACCAAGAAGCCCTCCGGGGCCAGTGGACTTTGGCAAGGCCCTGGCTTGGCCCCCACAGCTGTGTCCCCATGGACAGGGGTCATCCTGTCCTGGGACGGGACTGTGCCCTCATTCCCTGCTAACTCTTCCTGGAGAGGAAAGGCCAGCTCTGTCCCACTACTCAGGGTCATCTCCCTTGCCTTCTTCCCTCTGTGGCAACTGTTTTTCATTTTCTGGTAGATTCTCTTGAATGTCTCATTCCCATACACCTGCCACTTGTCCTGGGAGAACATCTTCAGCTTCCTCTGGCTACACTTCTTACTGCCTGCTCTGCCCTTGCTGGCTGCCCCCTCCCCAGCAGCAGCTCTGTTTCTATCCGAGTCCTCTGCAGGCACCTGGCTGTCTCCAGTGGGGGGGCATGGCAGATCCTCCACGGCAGCCTGTCTGACCAGGGCCCGGGGGTGGCCGCTGGGGACATCCACCAGTCGGGCGGGGGCAGGCCTGGGGCTTAGAGGCTTCTGCCTCCTGGGGCAGGCGGCCCGGGGGCCCGGGGGCTCCTGCCATATCCTGGTGCCCTCAACAAAGGGCAGTGAGTTGCTCCTGGTGACGGGCACACATGCCACGGTGGTGGAGAGCTGAGCGGGGACAGAGTGAAAGAAGAGTGGCCGTGCCTTGTCTGGGGGGGTGAAGGTGGAACGGGCCGAGCTGAGGGCAGCGGGTTTCCTCTGGCCTGGCTGCAGCGCCCGGATGTCAAAGTGGAAGGAGTCCTTGTAGGTGTAGGGCATGGGCAGGTCGATGCTGCCTTGCTTGCACAGGACCGTCTTGCGGGGCCGCACATTGTCCAGCTGGGAATCATCCACCACGGCCTGATTGTGGGAGATGAGCCAGGCGATGCGCTCCTCCAGCTGCTTCTTCTCCAGCTGCAGGCTAGGCCCCCCAGGCCCCAGGGCCACCTCCACCTCAGACTCGGCACTGTGCTCCGACAGGCTGTGCAAGGGGCTGCCGGGGGCCGGCGGCTGCTCTGCGCTGTCAGAGCGGGACAGGTAGCCCGAGTCGGTGCTCTCACACTTCCGCAGCCGGCCCTCCAAGGCCTTGGCGTCCCAGGGCTTCTCCGAGGACGTGGCCGCTTGCTGCTGCTGCAGGGAGCACAGCCGGCCAGCAGTCGGGGACATCTGCTCTGGCAGCTTCCGCCTCGGCTGGGAGCCAGCCAGGGCAAGCCCAGGGGAGGCCGTGCGGGCAGAGTCCACGGGGGTCTCTCTGTCAGCAAATGCGGACCCTGGACAGGGAACAGCTTCCAACTTCAGAGCCAGGGTCTTGGCAATAGAAGACAGGGGCATGGCAGGCGCTGGGCACTGCCCAGCACCCTGGGCGCCTACAGAGAGGGGTCTCTCCGATCGGGCCCCACCACCCACCCTCTGGCTGCTGCCGTCCCCCACGCCATCCGCTCTGGAGCTCTCTCCAGCCTTGTCCCCCTCCTCCGGGAGGCTGCCCCCACCGCCATCAGACTCCGAGGACAGCCGAGAGTGGTTGAGGTGGGTCTGGGTGCGTCTGTGCTTATACAGGTTGCTCTGGGTCTTAAAGGCGACACCACAGGTAACACACGGAAAGGGCCTCTCACCCGTGTGGGACCGGATGTGCTTCTCCAAAACACTGGGCTTCAGGCAATCCCGGCCACAGTGTGGGCAAAGGTACTTGCCGGCATTCCGTACCTTGCCCGGGCTCCCCAGCATGGGCCCCGGGCCCGGCGACAGGACAGGCAGAGTGCCCACAATGTTCACAGTGAGTGCCGGGGCCGCTGGCTTCCCCACCTGGGTAGGGCCGGGTCCTTCAGGCCGCAGCAGGGGGCTGAGAATAAGGGGTACACTGCCCCCATCCAGGCTGTGTGTCACTAGGGGGGCACGTGGCTGGAGGCCCCCCGGAGGCACTGTGTGGTACAATGGGATGGGCAGGGCCTTCAGGAACACAGTAGAGGCCAGACCCTGCTCCGGTGGCAGAATGACAGGGCCCAGGGTCAGGTGAGGTGAGACCTGCCCACCTGGGGCTCCTGGGTGTCCAGGAGCTGGAGCCAGCTGGCCCCCGGTGGGCGAGAAAGCACGAGTGAGTTCTGGCACCTCCATCCTGCATCATCTGGGTGGTTCAGGATGCCTGGCGACCTGTGGGCAACACCAAACTTTACTGGGGGCACCTCTCTTCTCTCATCATGCAGTAAACCCTTCCCTGCCCCCACCTGGCATTTCATCACCCCATTGGAGCCTTGGTAACAATCCCCCAATAGAAATAGTAATCCCCACATTATTAAAGGGGAGACAGAGGCTCAGAGAGAAGTGACCTGACATGCAGCTAATACATGGCAAAGCAGGATTTGGACCCAGGTCTGTCTGAATCCTGCCTCTTATTTCACATGCCTTAAGGGAACTCTTGAGCCTTGCCCTCTACACACGGTACGCTTGTTACTGTCATCCCTCAACACCCAGCACAGTGCCCTGTGCAGAGGGGACACTTAGAAAATGTGCTGCCTTCATGAAAAAGAAAAGTCACGGAGCTTAGCAAGGTCCTGAAAGTCCACAGTGATTCCATGCTGGGACTCGGTTTCCAGATCTATAAAAGGGGAAGAGAATCAGCACCTCCCTAGGACCTTTTTCACTCTGGAGTTCTTAGCCTCTGCTATTGGATGGAGGCAATAAGGAAGAAGACTGACCTGAAGGGAAGTCTAACAGATTCAGCAAATGAAAATAGAAGACTCCCTGCTAAATGCATTTCAGAGAAACGATACATAATTCTTTAGTATGAGTATATCCCAATCTGGCAGAGGTCATGCTTACACTAAAATTATGTATTATTTACCTGAAATCCAAATGTAATGGCAGGCTGTACTTTATCTGGTTACCCCACCAGGATAAGGAGCACTTCCTCAACCTCAGGATCAGGCTTGGGTCTCTGCTCAAAGGTGGGGCTTCCAAAACCCCTCCAGATCCAACTGGGACACAATCAGTTCCCTCTCAGCCAGAGGGAAGAGCTGGGCAAATATGAGGCAAGACAGCAAGAGAGACCCAGCCATGTTCTTCAAACCATGGGAGGGAAAGCCAAATACAACGGGGGGCGGGGGCGCCTGGGTGGTTCAGTCGTTAAGCGTCTGCCTTCGGCTCGGGTCATGATCCCGGGGTCCTGGGATCGAGCCCCGCGTCGGGCTCCCTGCTCAGCGGGAAGCCTGCTTCTCCCTCTCCCACTCCCCCTGCTTGTGTTCCCTCTGTGTCTCTCTCTGTCAAATAATAAATAAAGTCTTAAAAAAAAAAAAAAATACAATGGGAAGAGGCAGGACAGGCCCATGGTTACAGGAACGGGGTCTCCAGAGGTTTCTTGCTCAGACACCCATCCCCTAGGAGCTCCATAAGCACACTTTGATCACCCCCCAGCTCAGCTCCTTCAGAAAAACAATGCATACTGCAGGCTTTTGCAGCAAGCTGGGTAAGGGAGAAGCACTGGCATATGCGGGAACCGGCTCCTAACGGCTCACATCAGTTCACGCCGGCTCATGAGAGCGGATTTTCAGGAATTTTGCAAGCCAGTTGTTAAACATGGCCTAATTAAGAGTTAAATCATATAAACTTATAAGTTATATTAAAACAAAGGTATACAACTGGATATTCACGTGTAAAAGAATGAAGTTGAACTCCCTATCTCACTTCATATACGAAAATTAACTCTAAATTGACCAAAGCTCTAAATGTAAGAGCTAAAACTACAAAACTCTTAGAAGAAAATGTAGGAGTAAATCTTCATGACCTTGGATTTGGCAATGAATTCTTAGATATGATATCAAAAGCACAAACAATTAAAAAAAAATTTTAATCACGTTTTATGTAATTTTATACTAACTTTTTAAATCTAACTTTATACCAACTTTTTATTTTTTTTAAAAGATCTTATTTATTTGACAGAGGGAGAGAAAGCATAAGCAGGGGGAGTGGCAGGCAGAGAGGGAGAAGCAGACTCCCCACTGAGCAAGGAGCCCGATGCGGGACTCCAATCCAGCACCCTGGGATCATGACGTGAGCTGAAGGCAGACACTTAACCAAATGAGCCACCCAGGCACCCCTATACCAATTAAAAAAAATTTTTTTTACCAAAATTAAACTTTTGTGCATCAAAGGACACCAAGATGTACTATATGTTTGCTAACTGAACATAATTAAAAAAAAGTGAAAAGACAACTCACAGAATGGAAGAAAGTATTTGCAAATCATGTATCTGGCATGTCCAAAATACATAAAGAATTCTCACAACTCAATAAAGACAACCAACTCAACTAAAAAATAAGCAAAGGACTTGAATACACATTTCTCCAAGGGAGATCTACAAAGAGCCAAAAGCACAGGCAATGATGCTCGATACCATCAGTCATTAGAAAAATGTAAATCAAAAACACAATGAGGTATGAATTCACACCAGCATGTCTTTAGCAATAACAACAACAAGCTGGAAATGACAAATGAGCACTGCTTATGGGAATATAAGATGGTGAACATTTTGGAGGCTCCTCAGCAAGTCAGACATAGAACTATGATGCAACCCAGCAATTCAACTTCTAGGTATACACCCCAAAGAACTGAAAATAGGAATTCATATAAAAACGGGTACATGAATGTTTACAGCAGCACAATTCAACACAGCCAAAAGGTGGGAACAACCCAAATGTCCACTGGCGGATGAATGGATAAACAAGATGCAGGCCATCCATACAATGGGATATTCTTTAGCCATAACAAGAGCAAAGTGCTGACACACACTACCACAGGACAAACCTTGAACACACGATGCTGAGTGAAAGAAGCCAGACCAAAGAGGTCACATCCTGTGTGATTCCATTTATATGAAAAACCCAGATGAGGCAAGTTCACAGGCACAGAAAGCAGGTTACAATGGTTGTGAGGGATAGAGAGGGAGAATACAGGGTGGCCACTTGATTGGGCACAGGGCTTCCTCTTGCAGTGATGAGAATGTTCTGGCAGTGGTACGACATTATCAGTGTACCCGAACGCTGCCAAGATGTCCACTTTAAAATAGTTAAAATGGTGAGTTTGATGTTATGTGAATTTTACCTCAATAAAAAAGGTACTAAATACTTAAAGCTCATCACTTGCTAATCATTTTATTTCATCTTACCACTATCGGTACTCTAGGGGTTGTTTTTGTTGACTGCGCCGGCATGATGGAAACTCCATATGATGGTGCAGCACTCCATATCCTGGTATCGTCCCGACTTTGGGTTCAGTGATGTCATGTTCATAGCCTGGGACTGGCCATGGTGGGGCTATTCACACCACAGAAATCAGCAAATGCCACAAGCCAGTCTTTTTTTTTTTTAATTCTGAAACCAACTCTCCCATTCTCTGTTCCTCGTAGACCTATTTAACGTTACAGATCTCATGCCACCATGCCAGCTGCCTCAAAACATTTGACAGGTTATAATTTTTTTAAGGGAAGATTTAAAGACAAAAATCTTTAGAGATCAGAAGAAGGTACTGGAATTCCTCAGAGCTGACGTCAAGGAAAGACAATGGGGCTTACCTCAAGGCACTGCGTACCTCCTACTAGCTGAAGAATTTTGAGATGCTTCCCAGTGGAACCATCGGACTGAGTTTCTGTCCCTACTTACTTGGCTTGCTGGTGGGTATCCCTGAGACCCAGATCCCTCAGCTCTGAGAACAGGTCACTTGGGCAGAGCTACAGGGAGATCTCCTGAAACAATCTGTGAGAATATGGAGCGCGGCGCCAGGCATGGAGTAAGCGCTCCACTTATTTGGGTTTCCAAAGATATGCCTTGGTATTTTGAACTATTAACTAGTGAATCCTCTTCCACCCTCTCTTCCCTCCTACCCCGTCTCTTCCCCCATCAGTCAGCAGGCCCCATTCATTGCTCCTGAGAAGAGAGGCTGTCTCGTGTTGGGTCCCCCAAAAAGAGATGTCATCACAAGGATTCTATTTGGGACGTGACCCTAGGAAACAGTCATAAGGGAGAGAGAAAGACGAGGTGAAGGAAGCTACAAAGTGTGTGTCACGGGGCAGGCAGAGCTTGACTCCGAGGGGGAATACAGAGACCATACAGAACACATATCTCAGCAACCCCACATAGTGAGGAAGCTGTCATGCACCGAGGGTCCTCCTGAGAGCAGTGAGATGCTGGCTGTGCAGCTGGGCAAGCGCACACACCGGGCAGCTCTGGGGGTCCCACAGCGCCATCAGGCCCGCAGTGCTGCCCGAAGCTGGCTCCTACAAATGCAGGGGGAGATGGGTAGGCAGGGCTTTGCTGGAGTTGTTGTGGCAGAAAAAGAGTAAAGTCTTCCGGATTCCAGAGCCTAAACCCTAAGTCGGAAATCCATTTCCCAGTCCTCAGTTATGATGGTCCCTGAGTTAGGAGGAGGTGGGAAGGAGGAGAGGTGGGAGGAAAAGGAGGAAGCCTTCCAAAGTTGGCTTCAGGGGGAGTTGGGTGGAGGTGTGACCTGGACCCCACTCCCTGGGGCAATCAGGTGAGGGCCCAGGGCAGAGCAAAAACAGCCCACTGTGCGTGTCCAGGCAAGCAGGATGGAGGAAGCCTATGGGGTTCCCATGCTCCAGAGTGAATACCAGAGCCCCAGAGAGGGGCCCTGGAGGGACCAGGAAAATTCCAGTTGGGCCCTGGGGGTCCTGCATGGGGAGCTGAGGGCTGAGCACCATATGCCCCCTGAAATCAGCCCACCCTTGGGGGAAGGAGAAAAGCAGCCCAGACTGCCTCAGGGAAGCACGGGGCTTCAAGATAGAAATTCCAGAAAAAGAGTGCTACATCTCTGACACACCTGCCACGATGATTATTTTGCTCTCTCTGCAGCCTGTTCTGTGACCACAGTAAAATCGACACCCTTTAGGGGCAGCTGATCCCTGCCGGCAAGATAATGAGCCAACTAACACCTTCCTCCAGGGAGATGGCACTTTTCTCAGGGAAACCTCAAAGGGCCGCCACTGATTTTTCTCACTCTGAATCAAGGCAGTAGCAGGTCCTATTATCCCCACTGGACTAATGGGGAAACTGAGGCACAAGGTGGCAAAGGCAGGCATGTCAGGGAAGGCTCTGGGAAGACCA